ATTTGGAGATCCCATTTTTTACATCTTTATATAATTTATATCAGTCATTGGGGATGGCTCAATGTGTTCATATCTTTCTTAAGCTATAACTATCTAAAAACTGAACTGTGACTAATAACAAAAATAAAAAATAATTTCTAGATCAAATGAGTACTAACATATTTCTACATCTTTTAAATAACAGTTTGGATAAGTGATTCATGTTAAGTTTTTCAACATTAGTTGTTCCCAGGCAGTCACACAACTGAGTCATTCAAGATGACTTGCAAATGTCCTCAATGAACCTCACACATCATGATTTTTCTAGGAATTTTGAAGAGTATTTTTGTTTTCTTACTGATAACATACACTGTGGTTTCATATAAAAATAAAATAGAAAATTATTTATTTCACTAATATTATTTCAGAGACAAATTGTAAAATCATAGAATTCAAGCAATAATAACCACAGTAAATATGACATTTTATATACGTTTTATGCTAAGCAATTTGAACTCTTTTTTAAAATTTTTAATTGTTATGGACACATAATATTAATAGTTGTATATATTTATAGAGTACACGTGATGTTTGATACAGTCATACAATATGTATTAATCACATCACGGCAATTGGGGTATCCGTCACCTCAAGCATTTATCATTTCTTTGTGTTGGGAGCATTCCAATTCCACTCTTTTAGTTATTTTACGGTATATCATAACTTATTGTTGACTACAGTCACTTTGTTGTGTTATCAAATATTCTTCATTCTACCTATGTAACTATATTTTTTCCACCCATCAAACACCCCCACTTTATCCTCCCCTCCTCACTACCCTCCCCAGCCTCTGGTAACCAACATTCTACTCTCTGTCTCCATGAGATCAATTGTTTTACTATTTAATTCCCCACATTTGAGTGAGAACATGTGAGATTTGTCTTTCTGTCCTTGACTTATTTCCCTTAACATAATGTTCTCCAGTTCCATCCACATCGTTGCAAATGACAGGTTTTCATTATTTTTATGGCTACATAATGTTCCATTGTGTATACGTGCCACAGTTTCTTTATCTATTCATCTGTTGATGGACACTTAGGTGGATTCCAAATCTTGGCTATTGTGAATAGTGCTGCAATAAACATGGGAGTGTAGGTTCTTTTCAATATACTGATTTCCTTTCTTTTGGATATATAACTAGCAGTAAGATTACTAAATCATGTAGTAGTTTTATTTTTAGTCTATTCAGGAACTTCTGTACTGTTCTCCAAAGTGGTTGCACTAATTTACATTTCCATCAACAGTGTACAAGGGTTCACCTTTCTCCACATTCTCACCAACATTTGTTATTGCCCTCTTTTTGATAAAAGCCACTTTAATTGGGATGAGATGATATCTCACTGTAGTTTTGATTTTCATTTCTCTGATGACTAAAGATGTTGAGCATTTTTTCATATATCTATTGGCCATGTGTATGTCTTCTTTTGAGAAATGTCTATTCAGATCCTTTGCCCATTTTTAAATTGGATCATTTGATCTTTTTCCTGTTGAGTTGGAGCCCCTTATTTATTCTAGTAATTAATCCCTTGTCAAATGGGAAGTTGGCAATGTTTTCTCCCATTCT